GCGGCCCTCGGCCCCTGCCGCCAGCACAGCCCGCCTACGGTTGGGGTGGGGGTTGGTTTTTGGTTTTTTTTTTCCGTGTTACAGAAATGTCGGAAAACCTGAATTTGCCTCTTTCACTCACTCTGAGCCATACCCTGGAGATGTTTAAGACATGTAGTTGTGATTCTTAGGGACATGGTTTAGTGGGTGGACTTGGCAGTGCTGGGTTAACAGTTGGACTCAAAGAATTGATAGAATGTATTGGGTTGGAAGGGACCTCTAAAGACCATCCAGTTCAACCCCCCTACAATAATCAGGGATGTCTCCAACTAACCAGGTCAGGTTGCTCAGGGGCGCATCAAGCCTGACCTTGAATGTCTCCAGGGATGTGGCCTCCACCACCTCTTTGGGTAACCTGTTTCAGTGAGAAACCACCCTCATATTAGAGAACTTTTTCCTTATGTCTAACCTAAATCTACCCTTTCCTAGCTTCAAGTCATTACTCCCTGTCCTGTTGCTATAAATCCTTGAGAACAGATCTTCTCCTGCCTTCTTATAGGCCCCTTTCAGGTATTGGACAGTTGCTATGAGCTGAGTAATCTTAAAGGTCTTTTCTGACCAGAATGATTCTATGACTCTATATTCACCTAATTTCTCTAATAATTTTTGCATAGGTATTCATCTCAAAATGCTTACTTGCTTAATTGTCCACAAAGGAGTTTTCTCTTGAAATGTCCAATGACTGACTGATAACAGTTTTGATAAAAAAATTGCACTAAAATTATGGAATCTGTTAATTTTCAAAATCAACATTTGTTTTGAGAATTCATCCTAACATCTGTTTACTGAACTTCAGCCTCGGGGTAGCTGCTTTTGGCTTGTCCATGGCAGTCTCTGACAGGAAGCCATGCAGCAACCCTTGCCATGGATCTCAGTACAGTGGTAGATCTCCAGAGGGAGAAGGGAGACAAAATTCACTCTGCTGGCAGGCCTTGGCCTTTAGTTTTCCTCTAGATAAACAAACCAAACCAAACCAAAGCAAAACAAAAAAAAGAACTTGCTGCACTGGAACATTTAATTAATTTGGCAAGTAGTGTGATTGGCCAGGTCTTCCTCTGATGTCAGTCGGTGTAATTACACTGAAGTCTGTAACCCTCACTTGGCAGAGTGAGAAATGTCTCCCTTGTGAGAAAATTACATCCTGGAGATACTGTCTCTTTAAAAAAACCCAACTCAAATTACAAAACATAAATATTATTAGGAAACATGAACTAGATGACCTCCTGAGGTCCCACCTGGCTTGGATGGCCCTGTGTTTCCATGCTGCTGCGGTTTGTTGGTGTGGAGTGCTGCAGGATGGGGTCCTGGTTCCTGGCACGTGGCTCTGCGCAGGGCAGCGAGAGGAAGCACGAGATCTAGCGGTGTGTGACAGCTCGGGGTGTGTTGCTATCCCTGGATTACTGAAATGGCTTCAGCCCTTTCTCCAGTCCATGCCTGCAACCACCCCAAATCTGCCTGAGCACTCACACTACTGAGTACATGAAAATAGGCACTGGTAAACCACAAAGGGCATTTTAAATTGTATTTAGTCCTTTTTGGCGTGCATCACAAATATGTTCATGCAAAATCTCTTTTGTATACCTTAATATTTTTTGTCTCAAATTGCATAATAATTTTAACTACTACTGCCATTTCTCCACAGGTGCAGGAGCAGAGGCACCAATACCTTAAGATCTACATTTTTGTGCTTGCTTGACTTACAGAACAGCAGCCCACCTCTTCAAGACTTCTCTGACCACTGTAAAATCTAATCAAACTGTGTTAGTGTATTTTGGTACAGGAATGATGACTGCTTTAGAAGGTGATTACTCATTGGTTAATGTTCCTTTTATGTTTGGCTATCTGCAGTTAGCCCCCTCAGCCATTACATCTCCTTACATCACATATTTCTGTTTACAAGTTTTGGCAAGTTATCAAGATGTTGCAAGGAGGGTTGGATAAGGAAACAACTGGAAACAAATTCCTCTTGGAATTCCCATTGTTTTCAGTCATGTAGTTAATCCATAGAAGAGCCTGAAGGAGAACACAGGTTATTTGATCCCATGGTGTGGTGATGGAAATTTTTTTTTGACCCCACTGCTTCTACATTTAGAGTTTGATTCTGTGTCACTGAGGTCAGTGAAGATGTTGTTAACTTCTGTTGACCAGGCTGCTAACGGGGAGCTGTGACAGAGCAATGCCATAGTTCTAGCGAGTGAACAGCACAGGATGATCTCCACATTGCATAAATAACTGCTTTTCTACAGCAGCTTTAATTTTGACATCAGCTTGTCCTGAAACTGATCTGTGCAGCTCGGTCAAAAGCAATTGGACACTCACACTGTGAAGCTCTGGTGCCCTCCAGAGTGGTGTGCTGTCCTCTGCCAAGTCCTTAGGCAGCAACAGCAGCAGGAGCACGGCTGTGTGGAGCACCAGGGAAGTGGTGGCTGAGACCTTGTTTGCTCAAATGAGAAGCCTTGGTGGTGTTGTACTTGAAAATGTGATTAGTGAAAGAGTTAGTGATGCCCAGAGTTTTGGAAGAGAGCCAGTGTTGGGGTGGACCTGCTCCAACATTTGCATACACAGAGTACTTCTGCCTCCTGCTCCTGCTGTGCCTTGTGTCATCTTCTGCATTTTACTCCATCCGGTGTTTTTTTGGGGCTGGAGGGGGCATGGCTGTCTCAGATTTTTGAGTATTGCTTGTTTTCTGACAGAGCAAGTGATTTAGGATTCCTGCTCATACAAATCTCAATCTCATATGTTGCTCCAAACGTTTTGGTTGCTTCCTGTGAAGCTGACACCCTGATGTTTCTCTCATTCATCGCTTATTTCCTATCTCTTAAATGTTGCTGAACTGACTCGTGCCCTTTTATTATTCCTTGCTAGCTGTCAAGAAGAAGCAAAATTATGCTAGTGTGCATGAAGCAGTGAAAGCTGGTGATGTAGAACAGCTTGAATCCATGATAAAAAGTGGAGCCGATATTAACGAGGTGGATTTAGTCCACAAATTCACACCACTGCACTGTGCTGCACACTCTGGAAGTCTGGAGGTAAAACATGTTAGTGTTCAGACTCAGCAAGGTTTTTGTAAGTTAAATGTTTTCCTTCTTTGGGAAAGGGTGAACAAAAAATCGCTCACTTTGATCAAGCTAAATTGATAAATTCTGTCTGTTTTTCTCATTAAATGTATTCACCAGGAGCAGAAGCACAGGATTTTAGGTTTTCATTTTGCTTTTCTCACGCTCCAGGCATTTTATATAGAATTAGTGGTTTTGTTACTCTGAGCAAAGTGTGCCCTATGGTTTCCCTTTGAGACTCACAACCTTATTTTCCCTACTGTTTTTCCATTCTCTTGGGACACCTGAAAAATCCTGTAGGATGTGTAAAATGTTCTGAAGGTGATTGAAACAGGTGAGGAGTGACATGAAAACATGTTCTGTTTACCAGAATCCTGCCCCATGCCTCATTCTCTATAGAATATACTAATATACTTTATTTTAATAAAGTAAGTGTTGAATATTGATGGAGAAATCAGCAACTGCTTGCATGAGTGTTTTGAGCTTCTAGAAGGACTGAACTGCTGTATTCAGCACAACAGTCACCTTCTTGCTGCAGCCTCCTTGTACAATCTTTATAGCAATCTAACCTTGAAGCAACAAGGCCATGAATAACTACATAAAAATTCATGTCTCAAAGGAAGGAATGTAAAATTGTTGCTAAACCCAGGAAATAATAAGTGCATTGCTGGTTTTGGAATGTACAGAAACTGTCGAGAAAATGCTGATCATCATGTCAACCCTAAAAACAGATTGCTTACCTACCCTTTTCTGCCTCTATAAATTCGGACATTTTTCATTTGACTCTCCTACTTTGCAATCAATATTTTAGACTTTATGGAATTATTTGTCATCTATTTGTCGCTCAGCTCCTTAGTGGAAACAGTGGAGAAACCAGAGCTGTAGACTGGCCTAAAAGAAGATAATAAATCATAATAATTTATCATAAAAAGTTTTAACTGGTCCTCTAGCTAGTTTTGGATGGTTCATAAAGCTTTCTTTTGCAAGCAATAATACCTGCTGGAAAAAAAAAAAGTAAATAAAACAAAGCTAGGCAGTGGAAGGATGAGAGGTGGGATTACGTACACCTAGGAGCCCGATAAATTAAATGAGGCTTTAATGTGATTTCTTTATCTCAATTTCTGGAATACCAGTGTTTCTATATTATCTAGAACCTGTATTCTTTTCAGAGCCATGAGTATAGCACAAAAAATTTAAATTTGGTTCACGGTGTTTTTCCTGCTGGTAATTTTAGCTGGAATTCCAGTGAGTGTGTTTGCATTCCTTTTTCCAATGGTTTTACCTCATGCCACGTGAATACTCTCACAGATTACATTTTGAATGTGGAAGAGTAAAATCAAGAAGCCGTAGTGTAAAACCCATGCTGGGGTCTGAGTTAGCAGCTCGTTTGCACGTTTTGTAGCCCTGGGTGAAACCTGGGAAGCATAACTTCATTGTGACTTCCTAGTGCACAGGGTCTGGCTGAGGGATACTCTGGGGTGTTGTATTTCTGTAGTGACGTATTTTAAAATGTAACATCAACTGAAAAATGATAGTTAAACTGTAAGAGCAAGGAAATAAACCCATGTGGTTTTGGTTGAGCAGTGCCTTCACTGGTTGCTCTGGCACGGAGCTGAGGTCACTCGCGTCACTGCCGGCGGCTGGACAGCAGCTCACCTCGCAGCTATCCGAGGTCAGGATGCTTGCATGCAGGTATGTGTAAATGCTCAAGTGGAAGTAGGACGGACCTTCAGCTTGGAAAAATGCATGATGAAGATGCTGAGAGAGCTCCTGATGGAGCTGTGAGTATCTCATCTTGATGTCTTTACGCCTGGAATCAAGTCACTCTGTTAAAACCAGCTCACTCATTTGCACTCTCTGTACAAACAGTTTTGTTTTGTGCAGCATCAGGACCCTGAGGCCGGCCCAGAGTTATCCTGCTGGTCATCTCAGGTCATCCCACTTGCTTTTTTTCAATTTGTGAGCTGAACTCCTGCTTTGCCTTTCTTCTAGGCTCTGTTAATCAATGGAGCCAAGGTAGGAGCTGAGGATGACGGCGGGCGCACGCCCTCACACCTGGCTGCAGCCCACGGGCAGTCGTACACCCTGCAGACCCTTCTGCGCAGCGGAGCGGTGAGAGTGCAGAGCCAAGTCTGCTGCCTCTTCACAAACAAAACTCTCCCTGGCTTAAGCTGAAGTTTAGGACCGTAGATTAATTACTGTCAGTGAATTTCTTTTTAGGGTAATTTTCAGGTTTTTAATTGTAAGATACGTTAGGGACATGATCTAAAAGTCTAGAGGGGATCAATAATATGAGTAAACCACATTCCACTGAGGGTGTTATTAAATGAAGATCAGGTACTGTGGTGGTTGTGATTTTTTAGAGTTGTTCAAATCTATAGTAAAGGAGACAAAAACATTAAAAAAAAATCAGTTGCATATTTAAGTATTAATGACCAATGTAGTGTTAGAAGTAAGTCTAAAAATCCACCTTTTCTATGTGTATTATTTAAATAAAACCAAGAACCCATCAAAAGTACCCATCTTGTAATGAATACTTGGCATGAACTTTGAGAAATGTTATTTGATTTGTTTTAAATAATTTAACACCATGAACAGCCGATTCCTGTTTACAAAATTTGCCTTGTGTTGAAGATTCATAAATGAATGAATTAATCTGCTGCTTTCATTTCAGAATGTAAATGCTTCAGACAGGAACGACTGGAAGCCTGTACATTATGCTGCTTTTCATGGTCGCTTGGGGTGTTTGCAGCTCCTCGTTAGATGGGGAGCCTGTGTAGATGATGTGGATAACAATGGAAACCTTCCAGGTATTTCAGGATAAATCTTATGGGTTTTAACCTTTGGTTTACAGTTGTTGTGTTATGTGGTAACTATTGCAAATGACAAGTAATGCACACTGGCAGTATTTGCTATTTGATCCCAGGCAATCAACATAGTTGATTTCTATAATGCTGGGGGGGTTTATAAAATCCAAAGCACTAGTTTTCTGGTGACAGTATTTTTTCACCTGCCGCTGCTGGTGGCAAGGCTCAGAGCTGGAGCAGTGCTGGGGCAGGGAGCAGGCTGAGCCTGGCTGAGAGCACTGTGGAGGTGGGCAGCATCTCCTCTGCACATGGTGGTCCCAGGAGGAGAAGGGTAGGTGGAGCAGGAGCCAGTTTCAGCTGATACAGGCCCCTTTTTGAATTTGTGCCAGGCTTTAATGGGAGTGCCAGCATGATCAGATTCTGGTGTGTTCACATGCGGGTTTTTGTATCACGCTGTTTTTTAACTGATGTGGTAAAACCCTTGTTCTCAATTTACTTGTGATTTCTTTATCTCAAATTCTGGAATACCAGTGTTTCTATATTATCTAGAACCTGTATTCTTTTCAGAGCCATGAGTATAGCACAAAAAATGGACAGTGTTTATTCCTTGCTCTTCATAGTTTCTCTGGTGTCCCTGTGACTGCCACACCACTGCCACAGTAGCCTCTCTAAGTTGAATGAGATTATTCATATCCTGGGTTCTCATTGCATCCTCTCCCTTTTAGCATTTTGCTTCTTATGGTTTGTCACATTAATTGTTCCAAATAGTATGTTGTTTTTTTCTCTATAGATACAGAGTTCTCTTTTAGAGTTATCTCTACAGATAGAGTTAGCTTTCTAAATCCCATCTTAACATCTTTTACCCTCTGTTAAGCACCATTTACCTAGTAAACTGCTATCTATTTTCTGTTTTGCAAACCTGGGTCTTGTCAAAGGATGTGAGACTCTTGCATCCCAGCGGGACATCTGGTGTGTTAGCAATAAGGGCTCATGATGTTAAACACCCTGGTGGCAGCCTGGAAAGTAGCTTTGTTTGCATTTGGGAACATTTCCCTAATAACAGACTTCTGTGGGGAGAAAATGCCAGCACAGTTCTACTTAAATGCTCGGTATATACTGGTTAGTAGAAAATATTTTTGTTGTTATTATGACATCTACAGAAACTTGATCCTCCAGTCTTTGCTCTGTTTCATTTGATCATGTTATCAGCTAAAGGAAAGGAATTGCTAGTAAAAGATGAGTGGAAGTGGTGTGCTGTACAGACCAGCCTTTCCTCAGCTTGTGAAACAGTGAAATGAACTTAAATCATCTTTATATACTTCAGCTTCAAGATCAGCTGCATGGTGCTATAATTTTTCCTAAAAGAATACTGAAAGAAATTTAGTGAGGCTGCAGTGCCATACAGCTAAAGCTTCCAAACTGACCTCACCTTTTGCATGTGTCTGCCACAGCATCCCACTGCAACGGTGCAAAAAGACATGGGCAGAATACAACTCTCATCTGTTTTCCACTTGCCATCTTTGCAGAACACATTGATCTTTTCTGACCCTTTTCTGCACAGGACAGACATCCGATTTTAAAAAGAAAAGTTTCATCCCAGAAGGCTGGATTAGATGAACTCTAGGGTCCCTTCCAACCTAAGGCATTCTATGATTCTATGAAAAGGTGAAGTTTTATCCCTGAGATTTTTGGTATCTGAAGGTGGATTCATAAGGCTTTAGTCAGTTTTTCATGAGCTGACTAGTAATCAGACAACTGGAAAAGCTGCCGTGATTTCAGTGAAGCTCAGATTTTGTTGCATTAAATTTTAGCAATCATCTGTATCTAAGTATTGTCATATTGCTGTAAAACCAATATCCATCACTTTTAGAGCAATTACATGCTGGAAAGGTGTGGATGGTTTGCAACAAAAACCTTGTCTGTGCCAAAAAAATGAAGTGACATGTTGGGTTTTTTGTTGTCTTGGGTACATTTTTTATTAATTATTGATGGAGACAAACTTTTTAGTAGGGCCTATTGTGACAGGACAAGGAGTAATGTTTTTAAACTAAAAGAGGGTAGATTTAGTCTAGATAAAAGGAATAATTTCTTTACGCTGGTGGTGGTGACACAGTGGCCCAGGTTGCCCAGAGAGGTGGTAGGTGCCTCACGTTAGAAATGTTCCAGGTCAGCTCAGATGGGGCTCTGAGCAACCTGATCTGGTTGAAGATGTCCCTGCTCTCTGCAGGGGAGTTGACCTTGAAAGGTCCCTTCCAACCCAAAACATTCTATGATTCTCTGAATTATGAAGATAATGAGATTCTTACCTGGAGACAAATTAGTCCTTTTGCCTGCAGAATATCAGCCAGCTTTTACAGAGCATTTTCGTGGGGTGATAATACATAATGAGCATTTATTTGGCAATTTACTTCCATTAAAGGAACTAGAGAATACTACTCATTTCAAAACGATGAGCATGTGTTTTATACCTCTTACTTTGTTATATGCCCATCACTCTAGGAGTATTAGATAACTAAACCTCAGCGTAGCCTAAAGGGCAGGGGAGGAAAGGCTTGACCCCACGGGGGAGCACTCACTGCCTTGGTGAGGTGGAGCAGCTCCCACGCCCAGTAGCTTGTCTACAGTAGCTGAAGGAAAATGATGTGTCATAGATGTACTGTGGATAGAATCCTCTGTCGTGGGATGCGCTTTCAAATTCGACCTGGTAAAGTGAATGTCACTGTCCTCATTTTATTGCTGGGGTAACTGAGGGTGTGGTGCAGGGTGTTTATGGTGGCACAGGAGAGATGGGACTAAAGCAGAAATGGCCTTAACTCCTAGTCAAGGACACCACTTGCTGGCCCTCGGTATTGAGTATCCCTAGGACAGTGGAGTCAGGCAGCTGCTGAAGGGTGAGATTTGTCATCCCCATGAAGATGACACCCTCCTTGGCAGTGCACCCTCTGAGCCAGTTCTCTGTGGTCTCTTGGCAGTGTTGGGTTGTCTCCTGCAGTCAGCTCTGCTGGGAAGTCTTCTTTCCAGACCCTATCCCTGTCAGCTTTCTTCTCTCACCTTTGCATAGAGTTGAACTCTGTCCTGGACAGGAGCTGGACATCACCTGTTCAGCCAAGGCTGCTCCTAGTTCTGCAGTGTTGGGTGGCTCAGGTGCTGGTAGATGAGCTAGATCTAACCAGAGGTGAGAGCACTGCTTTTCTGGGGGGCAGCAGTGCTCTGCTCTAACGTCCTTTGTTTCACCTTGTGCTGTAGCTCACCTGGCAGCAGTGGAAGGACACTTGCATTGCTTTAAGTTCTTGGTCAGTAAAATGGCCAGTGTCATGCACACACTGAAAGCCAGGAATGACCAAGGAGAGACTCCAAGGGACTTGGCCGAACGGTTCTATAAAAATAATATCCTGCAATATATTGATGGTGTGGAAAAAGAGGGGGAGCATCCAGAGGCACAGGAAGGTGAGTATGGATCAAGATACTGTTAAGCAGGCACTGCAATTTTGTAGAAATGCTTGATTCTGAAAACTCGCAGGAGCAGAAGCTTGTAGGGAAGAGATGTTCTTACCAATGCTTGCTACACTTAACTGCTAGGTAATCACTGGGGTACTCAATGTGGTTTTATAAATGCCTTAAGTTTACTCATGATCAAAATAAAACTTGTCACACTGTGTTGCACTGTAAATACCAAGTTATCCATGCTCTTCTTAGACTCCAGCAGAGATCCAGAAAAAGTGTATAACTTCTGTGAGTTTGTAGAATTGCCTGCCCAGAATCATGAATTCAATGCTTGCATTGAATAGCAGCTTACCTGGAAATCCCACTGAAATTCAGGTTACATGCTAACCAGCAGTACTGCTGCAGCCACAACAGCACAAGGAGGCAAGTGTGGCACGGTCTGTAAGGAGACCCTTCAACATAGCAAGGATATGAGAACTGCATCTTCACCTCTCTGCTTTTCCCAGGCACTTACTGGCCCTATCTGCCAGTCTTTCCTCATTATACATATATGTATTCAGTACTCCCTGTCTATAAAAAATAACTAGAAAAATAAAATTGTTTGCATGGACAGTTTTTAAGCAAGAAGAAGTAAAAAAGTCGATATATTTGGTTAAACTGTGGAATTCAAAACAGGCAAATGACTCCAGTTCCCACCAGTAATAAAACATCAATTGTAAAGCAAAGGTATACTTGTTATTTCAGGTTTATGAAATTAATATAAATGTGTAAGATGCTTGTAGCCATAACCAGGACAAGTTTAGTCAAGTCTGTGATGAACGGTGCTAGTTATGCAGCTGCATCTTAACTGATCAAGGCTTCATTAACCTTGCTAACTACAGCTCTGAAGTGCCCGTGCATCAGTTGCTACCAAAGAGGCAAGCTGGGAAAGACAAATACCAGCATGTTTAGTGGAATTCCTGCCAAACGTGTGCATTTCATTTTCAGTTTTAGCTTTCCCAGCTCATGGCGCTGCTTTCAAAGGGGACTTGTCAGTGCTTAAAAGATTAGTGAGGAGTGGAGTGATCAATATTAATGAGCGGGATGACAAGGGAGCCACTCTCATGCACAAAGGTCAGTAATGATGATCTGCGTTTCAGCTTGTTGCAGTTTGTTGCTGACTTGTTTACTTAGTTTTTCAAGTGGCTGCTCATCAGATAAGCTTCATGAAAAACAACATGTCATTTCCTGAGGGCTTGACAGGGCAACCCTCAAAAAAGTATTTTGTGATTTATGTGTGCATAGGTGTCACTTTAAAAACAAAGTAACCAAAGCTGAAGTCAAGAAGGAAGAGTTTATATTACAGAGAAAACAACATCTGAACTGAAAGCTAAATAGCTGGGATTTTTTGTCAGGTGAGATGTGACTTTTGGAAACAGGCTAACTTGGTGTAAGAATGAGCTGTGTTGTGACAGGGACCTTTGTGTACTGAACGTGTCAGTACTCTGGAGGTGTGTTGTAAAACCGAAACAAAGTCATCTGGTTGGACGCTGTGAAGGAAGATGAACTTCTGGTATCTAACACCTGCATATGTGGTGGAGGGTCAGCATTACAGGAAAATGGTCCTCTTGTGCTTGGGGGTTTCATAGCAAAGACTGAAAGAAGAAACAGGAGAGGAAAGAAGGAGGGAGGTACTTTTGTAATATGCTTTTAAAACTATTTCCCATATTACTTTTTGACTAGATATAAGTGGTAGAATATTTAAAACCATAATTTAAGTTGTCATTAAATAATAATTATATGTACTGACTTAAAAAATGTTTCTTTCAAACCCTCTTTTCTTGGAGTGGTGCTAACATACAGTTGTTTCATCCCCAGTCTTTACACACACTGCTGGTATTATGGGGAAATACTGCAGCTGATGTAATTTCATCTCCTTATCTCAGTAAGAAAACAAATATGGCAAACATCTAGAGGGGGTGCTGTCAAGAAATTGATTTATTCTTCCTTGAGAAAAACAGCTCTTTTCCTACAGGAAACCAGCTAGACATGCCAAATACCATCTTCCATATGTGAGTTTCTGGCACCACGTGGTATGAGCAGTATCTGTCTTGTGGTGTCTTGGTGAACCCTACCTCTGGCATGAGATGAAATAATGTCAAGAGGAGGACATTTTAGGCATGAAACACTTCACTTGTATGTAACTCGTGTGCACCTTCCTTCCCTTAGCTGCTGCACAGGGGCATATCCACTGCTTACAGTGGCTGATTGAAAAAGGAGCTGACTGTGACATTACAAATGATGCTGGAGAGACTCCAAAGGATGTGGCCAAGAGGTAGCAGTACCTATCCTGCAGCTCTGTCATTTATTTATGTACTATTTATATATCAATATCCTGTCAGCTTTGTTGGCATTAAACCTGATTTTCAGTGATGGAGTGGGATCAGGCCCATGAATTCCAGCTTTGAGTGGTAAGCAAAGCCGTGCTGTAGCTATAAAAGGTTTTAATTTTCACTTCATGTAATTTTTTTTTAGCAAGGTCAGACATAAAAGATGAAAATTAGCTGATCTGCAAGAAGAAAGTGTGAGGCAGTATGCTCACAGTTTGCTGTGCAAAGTCAATTAGAAGTAGCAAAGGCCAGCTGATTTTTGCATTAATAAAAATAATGCAGTTTCTGATGAGATTCAGTTAAGAAATCTCGCACAGGAGAAGATACCTCCAATGCAGGAGTCTGCCATAAGATTCCACTGAGGCAGAGCTCATGCCATCAGAATACTACAAAAACCACATCAGCTAATCCTTGTTTGTGTACCACTGCTTCCTTTAATCCTGAAGCCCCCTCCAATAAATGAGAACATGAATTTCAGAGAGTTTCTATCACGTGCATTTTTCCAGGTGACAGGGATATTCCAGTGTAGGTTAACTCTTCTCTGTGCAGATTTGCCCAGCTGGCAGCTGTGGAACTTTTGACACAAAGAACTGGACACAGTAGCTCTAGTGATGAAGAACTAGATGCAAGCAGTGTGAAGTTTTTTGAAAGGCACGGTGTGGAAGGGAGCACGGACAGCAAAGGAGATTTAACCCTGGCTACAGCAGAGAAGAGGAACGCACGCAGTAAGCACTGTCTTTCCATCACTCCTCCTTTGAAAAAGCTGGTCTCAAGACTTTGTACTCCTCCTTGCACAGTTTCTGCCAGCTGCTGTGACTTTTTTTCCTGTAGGATGATAGTTGAGAGGATATCTGTACCACTGGGCATTCAAACACATTGTGGAAAATCAGAAGGCACAGCAGAGAGCGATCAGAAGAATTGTTAAACTGTTTTAATCTGTATTGGTGAAACCATGTTGGATTGCTACTTGTTTCTGAGCTCTGTTTGCTGTGTGGGTGTCAGGTGTAGCTCAGTATTTGCTGAGCAGTGTGATTTCTGCTCTGTGCTTGTGAGACTGTTTTCCAGCTGATTGGACTCCAGTGTGACTGTCTTCTCCATGCATTTTACCTACCTGGACAACTCTGTCTTGCAGTAAGGGCCTATCGCAAGATTCAAGAACTTCAGCAACTTCTAGAAATTGCCTACAGCAACTACAGACAGCTGGGAGGAATAACTGAAGAGGAGAAGAAGATGAAAAAAGAAGAAAGGGAAGTTGAGAAGTAAGGTTAACTTGCTCTGCTAATGTTTAACACTGTGAAGCCCATTTTAAAGCCTTTAAGGCCAGCTTCTGCTCAGATTGCTTTGGCCATTCTGTCTTATCCACTTACCAAATTGAGCCAGGCCAAAGAGAAGCAGTTTCGCGGTCACAAGCCCTGGTCCTTATGTGGGATTTCAACCACCCTGACATCT